GTGTGTGTGTGTGTGTGTGTGTGTGTGTGTGTGTGTGTGTGTGTGTGAGAGAGTGTGAGTGAGACGGAGGGATTTAGGATGTGTCGTGGACACAGGTACGCACACACATGCCTCTCGTCGTCGTCGTCCTCTCTCAGTGGGCAGGGCTTCAGTGTGTCCTGTCCTTGGCGTGTGACAGGTCTTTACAGAACAAGCCTTCCTCTCTGGGCGGCGAAATCAGAATTCACCATAGCTGATGGGTTCGTGCCTGGGGGGAATTCTGGGAGATTTAAAAAAAAATGCTGAGTCTCTAATCGATCGTAGCACGCTCTCCTTCTGCCGTCTTTCTCAAATCTTTGTCTTTATCCCGCTTCTCTTTTCGGCATCATTACGCCGCCGCTGCAGATAAAGATGGATGATGGGATCCCAACCCTTTCCATTTAAAGGAGCATTTGTTACCTCAGGTTTAGTTTCCAGTGGGAAATGAATTCAGAGCCGCTGCTATAAAACATCTTTGTTCCTGTCTGTTCTCATCTTGTTTTGCCATCTTTAAAGAATCAAACCGTGGCTTTCTCCGAATGATCAGAGAGCCATGGGGATGCAGTGGGTTCACTCATTAGCCAAATCCCTGTTGGTATAAATACATTCAAGAATGTTATTTCTTGACACACACACACACACACACACACACACAGGGCATGGCATCTACAATTATCCAGCTTCAGACCCTAGGCTCTGACATCTGTTTCCTAATGACAGATAATTGCATGCTGTCAAGTGCAATCAACGGCAGTTGCTGCTAAGAAACTGGGTTTGGATTGTGTCACCGGTGCAGCCATGTTGGATCCAGACGAAAGACGGAGATATTACGGCAAACTCCCTCAGAATGTGACCCTCTATAGGGGGGTGTGCATGTGTGTTTTTTTTTTTTTGCATCCTGGTCTCCAAAAAAATGACTTTCCCATACAACAACACTGCATTGTCACTTACTTTGAGGGAACGTATTATCTCCCGAATTCCATTTGTATTAAATGTATCACAAACACGTTTAATGAAAGTCCAGGTTTGGAGGAGGTCAGGGTGGATGGATGGGTCAAACATCAGGTCAAACTCTTTAAAACTATGAATCTATCAGAATATTTTCCAAATTATTGTACTTGTCAGTGAATCAACTAATTGTTTCAGCTCTAATTAAACATCCCAGTTGCTGTATTTACACACAAATGCATGTTTTAAATCTAAAACCACGAGTCTCATATACATTTATCTTATGCTCTCATGGGTCAGTTAGGCCAGTAACATGACAGAGCTCTATAACGTCAAAAGATCTGCTCTTATCACATTATTTATTGTTACTTTCATCAGAAGCCCTCATTATTGTATTTAGTGAATCAATTAGCACCTCAAACACCGTCTTGGGCTTCTTGTCCTTTTTTTAATGATCTAATTCTAATTCCCTCCTTGTAATCGACGCCTGCTCTTTCAACCTTTGCTGCACGCCAGTCTGTGTCAATGTCTGCCACATTATTTTTAGGCCAGTTGGAAGTGTGTGTGTGTGTGTGTGTGTGTGTGTGTGTGTGTGTGTGTGTGTGAGGGTAGATAAGCAGATTATTTAAGGTTATTAAGGTTTCACACACAGGGGCGAGGCCACGCTGTGAAGCCGCCGCTGTGTCTCTTGCAGCGCTACCAGCGCGTCTCCTTTTGCGACTTGGCCAACACCTCCGCCTGTGTACAGCTGCCATATGGTTGACTGGTGTGTTTTGTTATCACCTGGCAATGACACCGACGACGTTAATCAGGTCCAATTATAACAGCCTCAGAAGATGAAGCGAACTCCGTCACTGAACTCTTGTGGTTCTGAAAGAATTGAAAGCACCCCTATGGATTGTTTTTGAGGTGATTGAAGGCCTGCATGCCATTTGTGGTTACTGTTGGCTTGGCTGTTATGTAGTGTGGTACGCCTGTGATGTGAGTAAGGCCTTTAACTATACAGCTGTGCAGTCATGTTTATCATCCCAGTAGCAATAACAGGTCTTGAAGGACGTTACCTGCTTGTGTAAAGCAGGGTTGCATTGCCTTTTTAAAACATGTCTGGTATGTGCTTTGACTGGTTGATGTAGAAAGGCTCTGCACTTCTTCCAGAACTTTTTCCACTGCCAATAAAGAGGGACCTGAAGCCAGAGAGATAGTAGCGCAGTACTTAGCTCATGACAGCTGGTGAAAATGTCATTTCAGACCGACGTGCTCAGTTGTAGCCCTGAGAGATCAAAATGAGGCTGTCAGTCAGTCTCGGTGAGAGGTCAGGCCATCTCTCCGTGTTTTTGTGTCGGAGGTTTGGCACAAAGTACGACTTTCTGCAAATGGCCTCGTGCAGCCTTCGGTGGTTTGCGATTAATTTGGAGTTCAGACAAGTTAGACGTGTCTCCGTGTGTGTGCGTGTGTGTGCGTGTGCACGCGTATGTTAACTTGTTTGGTGTCATTTGTTATCGCCGCCATCATCTCCACCAGAAGCTGTTATTCCCTTATGCAGCATGTCACGCCATCAGCGAGGAACATTTGGGAGCTGTGGCTCTAATGATAATGAGCTGGGAGAGATGTTCTTTCAGGATCCGTTTGGAAGTCTTTGAGCTCTGCTGTGCTCTGCCCCGTCTTATTTACCCATTTGCATTTTAACCAGCCCTGCGTCTCTATATTCCAAAATGATTCTTCTGAATCCTCTGAGAAAACATTCAGTTTAATGCATGTTGCCTTGCTCACAAACCTCATACTGCTGAAATGTAAATTTGCTGACAACGTGCTCTTTGGGTGTGCTAACTATTGCCCGCCCCCAGCAGACCCTTTTAGCCCGGTTAGCTTGGCTAAACTTCCTCCCAGCACCCATGGGCTCGGTATCCTGGTGAAAGGGGGGGGGCCCGCGGCTCGGCTCCAGATGGCCGTCTGGATAGACGGAGCCGTTTTTACTGCCTCGTCCCCTGCTACATTACTCAAACGTTATCACCCCTGCCTACAAAAATCCATCTGTGCTCACATGCTAACTTGAAGCATCCATCATCTTGACACTTCGTATTGAAACAATGACAATAATGACAGCCGGAGATGGATTCTCAGAAGGACGCGATGTACGTTGAAAACTGGCCAACGTTTGTCCTCGGATCAATTTTTGGAAATGAAGTTGTCAGCAGGAATTGTCTTTTCTTTTTGTAAAGGAGGAGAGTTTAAGTTTCTCTCTATATATTTACACAGAGGAGCTGTATATCTGGCCCCCATTGTTTTGCAAGCTTGACGGTTTTAATGAGGCCACAGAAGAGTTTATCCTACTTAACTTTCTGTTGTGGTGGAGTTTCAGTGTGAATCAATGAAGGATTTAGAATAGGTTTAGGTTCCTCGCTCATTCTGTCTCTCTCTTGCTCACTCTGACACACACACACACACACACACACACACACACTTGCCTCAGCTCTTGCTGACTAATTGGGTACCGATGCTGAGTAGTGTGATCTTTCAGCATATGCTCCTCGTGTGTTTGTTTGCATGTGTTTTTTATGTGGGCCTGTGCCTGTACATGTACGTACGTGTACGTACATGTACAGGCACAGGCTTACAGGCACAGGCACAGGCTTACAGCATGCAGGCTTACCTTTAGCCAATCAATCATCCATTACGCAATCATGGAGTCGTCCTCCTGCTTTATCCAACCGAATCACCGTCAAGAGTCATCTTTGTAGCTCAACTCCTGTATTCTTTTCTCACATGAACCCTTTTTCTTTTCCCCTCCTCTCTCTCTCCCTTCTATAAGTTTAGGTCATATATATTACAGGTCCTGTAGGTCAGAGAATTCTTTTTGTGAGGAGTTTGATTTATTTGCACATTTATACGTGCTAAGCGCTTGAGAAGGCACTCGCTGTTGCACGGTTTGCCCCGTGGTGTGTGCGAGACGAGGCCAGTGACCAATGATTCTCTGACAAACGAGGTGTGAGTGTGCCTCTACCGAACCCATACATTACTGTCTGACCCGATCTGAACGACCGGGCATCAGCTTTCTGGCGGGATTAAGAGAGCAGCCATACAGAACCTCTGATTGTTTAGTATCATTAACGCTGTAAATAGCCCTGATATCTGCGGTTATTTTACCTTCTAGTTTACTTTCCTTTACAGACAAGCTGCACACACTCACATCTGAGAGTCAGGATAACTCAAATATTGTGCTAATGGCACCAAGCAGCTCCTCTCGTTTACATGAACTACCTTGCTCAAAGACACCTTGAGAGTCATACAGAGCTTCCCGAAACGAGTTACCCACGGCGGATCTAACCCCGTTGATGCGAGGTTACCGTGTTGCTGGTCACAAGCCCGTCTCATTGCTCCTGTGGTAACATTACGGTGGTGAATGAGCCCCCTCCGCTCACAGGTGGTTATGATGTTGGTGTGTTCTGAATTGTTTGTTTGCCTCGACTCCTCAGGTTCATCCAGGAGATAGAGATGAACATGGGGCCGGGTCAGGCCAAGCAGTGCCAACTCCGAGCCTTCCTAACTTACTACATCAACGACCTCTTCCTCAACCAGGTTAGTGAAATGATAGATTTGATGCCGTGTAGATCTGACGGAGTGGCATATCAGCAGTCAAAGCAATGCTTCAGATTGACATCGGCACATTTTTTAAATAACAAACTCGGCTCTGGTAACAAAAATAACAGACATTTTTTTGGCTCTCACATTTTTGTTAAAAACACATTTTTACAGTCTGTTTTTGAAAGTCACAATCTGTTCTTGTTACTGAATAGCTGGGACTTTTTGTACTATATTAGATTTTGTGGGGGTGTTGAAAGCCAATTGGTCAAAATGTGGTACTGTTCCCTTTTAGGACTTCTAGAAATTGATAGAACTAGATGACACAATGGCATAATTTATTCCATTCAACGTCGTCTCCGAACCATTAGGTGCGAACAGAGATCAACAAGGAAATTATGGCAGTGAGCAAGGCAGCTGACCCTTTGAAGATCCTTGCCAACGCTGACACCATGAAGGTTCTGGGCGTCCAGAGACCGCTGCTGCAGGTGAGCAACATCCAGCATACGTTCTCAAGACACCAAATATATACCTAACATGAGGGGCGATTAATAATACGCTGCACAGTACAAGGCTCTTCAAGGCTCTTCAATACAACACCACCAAGTTTACCACATTTCAATCAAGAGTCACTAAAAAACCTCACATAGTATTTCTGGTATATTGCACAGGTGTAAAATGACTATTGCTGACACAAGTTCACACACACATGCATGCACACTGTATGTGTGTAGCATAGCCGCATGTGAGCAGTTAGAGAGGCTGAAAGAAAACAACAACACTGCATGTTTGTTTGGCACTGTTTCCCCTCTGTACCGCTGTTCAATAGAGGAGGGCTCTCTTGAGTACGTTCACCTTGCAGTTGTCTGTGATCGCAATAGGTTCAGGTTCAGGGACAGACAGACACACACACACACACGCGCGCGCACACACACTTTCAGCCTCTCTCTCTTGCTCTCACCTCATTAGGCCCGCCCTGCCACCTATCTCACAGGATCATAATTGCAGCTGAAATAGTGCTTGATCGTTGAGTTTGCAGCTGTTGCTAACTGGTGATTATATAACACTTGGATAACACTTGGATCTACCATTCGCTGTTTCCTGCAGGGCCATTTTTCTACAGAGAGCCAGTTTACGATAGCTGACCTACCAGAGGAGTCGTCAAATGCACTCATGTCACACACTGTGACTGTGTGGCCGCACCAGCAGCCATGGAATATAGCTTTGCTTTGTTGTGCTTGTGCTTATTTTAGAGATGTCTTTCTAAACGCTGCAAGCTGTGTATGTGTCTACGTGAGAATCATTTTTCAATTTTTCCCTCAGAAGTCATCAGTTCACTCAAATCGCATACAAATCATATTTCCCTCTTCCTCCCTTACTTCTACTGGTATTTTTCAAAGCACATTTTGTTTTATTTGTGTGCCGACGGGTTCAGAAATCCACCTCTAGAATACGTGCCGTCGTCCCAATACAACAGAGGTGAATAAATTTAAAGCAAACAGTCCAAACAAAACCTGTTAAACTCTGAACTTAACCAAACATGAACTGTTATGGACTGCCTCATTGACTGCACCGCATTCAACCACAGGCTCATCTAGCTTATTTTCGCAGTCTTTCTCATTTAACACAAGCTCATGGCAGGTTGAAGATTACCGCGGTGCCAAAGTCAAGATCCAGACAGCTGGCAAGATTTTCTATCCGTCAGTTGTCAGATATTCCGAATTTTCAGTATTGTGCGACGCTCTTTGTCTACAATATTGTAAAAATGCATGTGTGTGATGCGTCTTTGTGTGTGTGTGTGTCCATGCAGTTGTCAAGGAAGAAAGTGTCCCAGAGAGGTAGTTTGTCTGTGCTGTGGGTGTTTGTGTAGCAGACCTTGGATATCTGTGTGTGTGTGTGTGTGTGTGTGTGTGTGTGTGTGTGTGTGTGTGTGTGTGGGTGTGTGTGTGTGTGTGTGTGTGTGTGTGTGTGTGTGTGTGTGTGTGTGTGTGTGTGTGTGTGTGTGTGTGGGTGTGTGTGGGTGTGTGTGTGTGTGTGTGTGTGTGTTGCGGTGTATTTGTTTCTGTCAGAGCCTTCCTGTCTGTGTGCCTGGTTCTCTCACTGGGAGGGAACAGCGGTGGCAGATCATTACAGAGAGAGAGACCGTGGGCGTTTGGAGTTCAGCAGGGTTTGTTTACGGCTCGGGTCCCTCCTTAACGAGCAGTGCAGCATCTTGCTAATTATGCTGCTGTGGCTAATGAGCCTTTCTGCTGATAGTGGGGAGTGCAATAAAACACTCCTTTTGTTTGGGCTTTTTGCCTTTTTTTAATTGGGCTAAATAAAAGAGCTTTGCTCTCTTCCTCTCCTGCCATTCACATTCCAGGGTCAGGATGGTTACTTGTTTTCTTGTGTGTATCTGTGGGTCTGTTTTGCTACGTGTGTGTGTGTGTGTGTGTGTGTGTGTGTGTGTGTGTGTGTGTGTGGTGGTGTTTTAGGTCCTCCGACTTGAGAGCCTTCCCGCCGTTTGATGGCCTTCATCCTCAGTGTCACTGTTGTGACAGACTGCTCGCTTCTTTGGTCTCTAGCTTTCATTCATTTAGTTGTCACGAGTGCTTTTGATAAAGGGGTTTGACACCTTTTTATCCTGAAAGTATGAACTTAACCGGGTATTTTCTGACAGGAGCTTCTAACCGACCAGGTGGGGAATCTACCAACTCTGTGACTGCAATAGGTAATTAAAGATTACAGTGACCGCACCGTATAATGGTCGCTAGTTTCCAATAATGGAGCAGATGCGGTTTTGTGTGTCTTTGTGTGCGCGTATCTGTACGCGAGGGCTCGAGTGTGAGCGTGTTGGCGTGCACACATTAACTGTATGCGCTCCCTTTAAGTGCCACGGTGCTCTCTGTGCCAGGTGCTATCAGAGGGAGACACACACTGCTGGCACCCGAGCCGGCGTGGTTGACGAGAGGGAGAGAGAGCTCAATATTGCTACACCACATTAAACACACTCTCTCATACACCTTGGCTGGAGCCACATACGGAACAACCCATAGGGGGGGTAGGGGGTTGTGTGTGTGTGTGTGTGTGTGTGGGGGGGGGCACATTTTATAGACTCATCTGCTCTCTTTGCAACCGCTGAAGCGCAAGTTGATGATGTGTGCGGTAGTTTAAATTGGAGGAAGACATTAGCGGTTCGCCTGTTCTGGAATAGAGTCGAGGAGTTTGGAGCCAAACAGAAATGTCATTTTGCACATGCATATGCCACGGCACATAGACTCGTCGATACACAGCAGGCCACCACTCTGTCGTTGCTGTAACATGAAAGAGTAACTGCATGAAATGTAGCTTCTGACGCTGTGTGATAGCTTTACCTCTGGTCTATTGTTGCCCCCTCACAGCATGATACCAATATTTATAGATGCATTTCCAGAGCATTAACGTTTGGATATTATTAAATACGTTCATGTAATGTGATTTCTCTGACCTTTTGGTCTGTGTTATCTCACCAGTAGAAATGGCCAAAGTGACTTTGTGGAGACACTGCGCAGGAGTCAAGGTGAATACATGCCTTAAGTTTTCCATAATAAGCCATACCCATGCAGTCTGGGCATATAGGTTAACAAATACGAGCGATATGGGCAGTGATTTGCCTATCACTATGCACCAGCGGTGTGTCAAATACTGCATTTATGTATCATGTACATATATTACATACTAATGATACGATGATGAGCCTGACAACGGCTATATATTCTCCACTCGGAGCATGAGATAAGAGCTGACTGGGACAGTATATAGTTCAGTGGGAGAGCTTAAGGTCCATGCATGCGTCTGTGTGACAGCATAGCCTGAGCTGATAAGTCTTCAGAGGAGCACTAGTGTTAAAGAAAGGAGAAAGGCAGGCAAGCAAGCCACAAATCAGTCTGTTCTGTTTTTATGCTTATTCGATGTCTCTGTTGTTCTGTCTTTCATTTATTGTGACCATACTTATTCCCTTCCATTCTCTTGCTTATCTTTACTTTTCATGGACTGGACTCCAACAGTATAGTAACACACAGCCGTATATGCTGCTGGCCCCAGCAGGGCGATGCTATCTGTCCAGCTTTGGTGTTGCCACTGATTGATTCATTTAATTAGAGTTAGATCGAGGGGAGGGGGGGGGGTAGAGAGATGGCGAATAGAATAGAAACAGAAAGTAGAATAGGGAGGGTATGGTCACTCTGCTGGATAGCTCTGGAGATTGGCTCCATTAATCTTGTTGGGAACCCCCCCCCCCCCATGTCCCCTTTACATGCTCACTTTGTGACATACTAACATACAAGCATGCACACAATGTGCACAATAAGAGAAACACCTGCAAAGACGGTGGTGTCGAGCCACCTGTGCGCCCGCTCGTACGGTGCGCTTGTGTTCGTGAGTGCGGATTAATTGTTTGTGTTCTGCGGGTTTTTACTTCATCAGCCAAGACCACGCCAGAGCCACAATTACATTATGCATCGGCCCTCTATTTTTTCAGCTAAGCATCATTCAGCTTCGTCCCCAGCATCCCCAAACAATAGCCACTAACTAGTCCTTTTGTTTCTGTGTGTGTGTGTGTGTGTGTGTGTGTGTGTGTGTGTGTGTGTGTGTGTGTGTGTGAGCGCAGCAAGTGCCCCTGCATTCATTATTCATACGCGCATGTGTTTGCCTGTTTTGCCGTGTTTTGTATGCACACAAAACTTGTTCTGGAGCCACATAAAGACTGATTTCATTCACTCTCTGTCAGCTGCCCGAGTGCTCACTGTATTGCCGATGCGTTCAGCTGCCAATGGCCTGCTAATGATGTTGACCTTTTTAAATTTCATATTCACATGTAGCTTTGTGAGACGGGAGGGTGGAACCCGGGCAGACACACACATATATATATATATATATATATATATATATACAAGTGTTAGTTGTACATGCACACGCTCGCTCGCACACCCACCACCAGAAACCGTAATGACACTGACCTTTTTATTTGTAATGATGTGTGGAGGCAATGTTTATTTGCAGGGGGCCGAATGCTTCCTGTTGATTGGCTCCCCCCCTCTCCCCACAGACTCCCTATCATCCAACGCGCGCACACACACACACACACACGCTCCCATCAACAGACACAGCAATCACAACACAATACACCTGTTAGCTGCATCGGCCATGCCCTGCGATTAGGACGCAAGTGGAAGAAGGAGGACAGAGGGTATTAGGGTGGTTTGTATACACACACGTGCTCACACACACATGCCAATACCAGAAACAAAATCCAAAGCCATTCCTGTGTTTGTTAGCAAAAAGAGAATCTCAGCGAAACGGCACAATAGCCATTTTAATTCAGCTAAAATAGGCCTGCTCACCGTAAAAATAAATAATCTGAATGCTTTCCCATTTAGTCCAAATGTGTTCTGGAGCCCTCTACTGCATTATCGGTCTTGAAATGGATTGTGCCGAAGCATCCGGTCGACAATTTTACAGCTGTTAAGAA